GCGACATTGAACTTGGCTAGCAAAGACCATTGGACCAGCCGAGGTGGAGAGGCAGAAGCCACGAGTCACTTCCGTCCATCAATTAAAAGCCTTTAAGCGCTAAATATCCAGTAAGTAAAAACGATTTCCGTTATTCGGTCATTGCAGAGCCGCGAGAATCCGAACAATACGCGAGAAATCCATCGATCGAAGACTTCGTAACGAGGGGCTGCTTCCCTTCCCCCCTCCCCCTCCCCCTCCCCCCACAATGCAGCATTAACCGCCAAAACTCCATCAAAAGAGCAATCGATCGAGTACACCCGTTCACTGGATACACTCACCCCACCCGACCATTACCACGGACCTGGAGGACGTCTAAAGTAGCCTTGGCGCCACAGGCGGCGAGGACACGCGACGTGTCGGGAACGTCGAGTCGATGATGGGCAAAGCGACCGATCGAGCAGCCTCGAGGTTCGCCGATGCCGCGCTTCCATTCTCCCACTCACACCCGGCAAATAAATAGCGAAACAGGATACCGCGTCCTCTCCTCCTCTACCTCCACCATCACCTCTTCCTCCTCCTCCACTCGCCGAGCACTTCGAAGCGATTAGTTCACATGGTGTCCCGTTACACGCGACCCGTGGCTCCAGGGGGACTAGGGACTGGGGACTGGACTAGTGACTGAGAAGGGGATGGGTGGGGTAGTGGTCGGGGGGAGGCGGTGGAGCTGTTTGCGTTATTAGATTTAGATTGCTTGGCACGTGTGCTGGATGGAGGGCGGAAGGTGGAGGTGGATAGAGGTAGGGGAGACGACATCGGCTGCTGGTCACGTGCCGCGGCTCCCGCGGAAACGGCCTTTCGCCTGGAATAACTTTGACGCGTGGACTTTGTGCGCGATCGGCTGCTGGTCGAGAGGAAACAAGACGGTGGTATTAATTTGTAATTGGCCTCTGATACATCAAAATATTAGCTTACAGATGGCTAACGGGGTAGGGGTTTTTAGTGCGGTGGGACGGAGGGGGAGGGTGGGAGGCAGCATTGTGTGCTGCGAGCTTGTCACCGGATTGACATGCGAATTTTTCGCACAATGTGCAGCCTCGGGGCGCGCCAATGGCTTTGTTGTCGCAAACATTCCACTTCCGTGTTTGCGCTCTCCCTTGCCAACTAATGAGATTCAGATTTTAAAGATAATAATAACGATGTTGGAAGATGATGTTGGAGGTGGTGGCCGTGGTGGCGAGGTAAATGATTGATGGTAGATGGCGATGTGCGGGTGGGGGGGGGGGGGCGGGGGCCCATACCTCCAAAGCTCATTTGAAAGATTCGCATGTTGAAGACAGTTCCGCAGTTTATGCTATTTTAGCAATTTAGAGCTTTGGGCATCAGCATCGCAGCTACGCTCCAAAATGGCGAATTCCATTGGCGTAGAATGGACTGACTTTGGCGATCCGCGTCTTATCTTCAAAATACAACGATAAGAATACTTCTTCTACGATCGCAAGAATGCTGGCTCGGTGTTAGTTCCCGAACATTTGCGCTGTCTTTTGTTTTCAGTAAGGATCTAGTCTACCCGTTGTATTTACTCCTCGAAAGAATACGCGAAGCGATCGCGCTCTGTCGCACCCACTAACCACCACCACCACCACACCATTAATACATCTAATAATAATAAGCAAAACTTTTGACATTTCTCAAATTTCAGCTATCAAACTTCAAGGTTTACGAGTGAAAAAAAAACGACATCGCCTTTGAAAAGACTCCCCTACGACCCCTGCCGTCGCACCCGTCCCACCCGCCCGCCCCATCAGCCACTAATCCGCCGCCACCAATCTGATCTGCTTCCTTTTCGGATCAACGCCAAGACTTACATTCGCATGGCCCCGAAGTCCGTCGAGCGCCTCGAATAATAACATAGTCGCTGAAAATAAAAGGCACGCGCAACCACCACTGACAAATGTTACAACTTTTCACATGCAAATGTAAACTCACTAAAGCCCCGCCGTAATTTTGCCCGAGAACACGGTATCGATTTGCGTTTTAAATCCTTAATTGATTACGCGCTTAATTAAAAGGGCTTGTAGGCCCGGAGGTGATAATTGGCGACGGTCCTCTGATGGTTCGCTGACGAGGCCTGATGAGCCTGAAGCGGCTGCTACTTGGTGGCTCGGGGATTGGGACGGGGGGACGGGGTGGCTGCTTCAGGCTCGAGTCGCTCCGTCGCTTCGAATTGGTCGAACTGGCCGGATCAGTGGTGGGCGATATCGGGAGGCTGGGAGAGGAGCAATCACGGACCCGGCTCACGTTCTATGACGGGTCGCGATAAGATCTCCGTTCGCGGAAAAGAGCCACCCCTTGGAGTGGCAATGCCCCAACCCAACGGGGGGTGAGAGCTATTGTACGGCACTCGCGCGGGATGGTGGGGGGAGGGGCGGTGAGATGCACCACCGCTACTGCCGCCGCATTACCATCTGCTGATTGACGATCATCTTTATTCGGGGATATTAAGTTACACGGGCTTTTGTGCGGAGTACGCGAAATGCGCAGCTCGACGAACATCTCATGCAAGAACGAAGAGAGAGAGAGAGAGAGAGAGAGAGAGAGAGAGAGAGAGAGAGAGAGAGAGAGAGAATTGAGACACAAAGCTCTAAGAGAATTGACTGACAAAGCTTCATTAAGTTTTCAAGAATCTGAAATACCTCGCGCTGCATCTTACACGTCAACGTGCGTGTGGGGGGGAGAGAGATGTAAGCTTTATATTTCGCACAATATGATCGCAACTTAAAGTTTATATAAATGATTCAAATACACTTTGAAACATACACTTTCACAACTTTTTTTACAATGATCAAATTATACTTAAAGATAAATTCTATTTAAGAATGTGAGAAAATTATGGGAGATCAAGAGGATATCAAGAGAGCAAAGATAATTTTACAGATTTATAATTTTAAAAACAGAAACTATGAAAGTAAATACAAATATTTTTTTGAGATATAAATGAATGTAAACATTGTAAGCATCAGAAGCGTGTCATTTGCTGGATTAATTTTTTTGAGAAGGCGACATTTAATTAACAGCCAACAATTATCGGAAACAATAACGGATTTGTAAATGACGATGTAATATCGTAAATAACGAATCGTACATTACGTCTTTTATGACATAATGGCTTTTGATAATGAGCTCGCGATTTAAGTATCATTTAAGTAAATTACCTATTAATATTCAGGATTTTAATAAATTTCAGTTATCAATACATAATACGTTAATTAATGTCGGCTGCTTTTACGTTTCAATTTACGTTCAATTCCATAAAACTAGACTTTTTGACGGTAGTTTGTATTGAAGAAAATCGAAACTTCTTCATTGTTCGTGATATTGACAATAGGTCGACGTAATATAAATATCTCAAGTTATTATTAAATTTAACGATTAACTTCGACGGCAATATTATTATTGAGTAAAGAGTGGAAAAATTCTTTTCCATGTGGGGCGCATTACGTTGCAAGAAAGTTTCATGTTATAATGAGAAACAAATATTAGGATGTCGGTCATACTTTTAAGAATAAAACTATAATGTTGTTCGAAAGATTCTTGCTGATATCGTTTCAACGAAGACATAAGCGTCCGACAATCAGTTTACGTTAAAAACTTTGAAACGATAAATTTCTTAATAATCTACTTGTGTGCCTTTTACAGAATATCAATAAAAACCATTAACTTCATGAGTGTTAAAACTTTTTATGAAGCATTAACATTTATAAATCTGGGAATCTGCGAGCTTTCATCAATCCAGCTAATTAAATACACAAAGGGTGGAGGATTACGGTAGGAAAACTTCTCATTAATTCGTCATCAACTGGTAATATTTAACGCACCTGTCTATACGACTGGTAATCTTACTATTTCTATTACGTTATATTACTATACTAAACATTAACTTAATTTATTTTCTTACTTCGGATCTTACTTAAAATGCTTTCAATTAATTTTCTATTTTTCTATAAAGTGATAACGACGGGTTGAAAAACAATTCAATCCCCGTTAAATTTAAATTTCTTTACATTGGTTACATTTCTATTGGGTATTGATCTAGCAAAAGAAGAGAGCAAAATTTCTTCCCGTTAAATTTTTAATTACACTTAGTTAAGAAAAAGAGGTGTAAATGTGTTAATTACGATTAAATTTTCATCGTAATATAATGAAATCTTTTTATATATTTTAAAACAGATGTCGCACCAATTTATGTAATATGATATTATTTAAAAACAGATTGGCTATAAAGGGCATGAAAGGATGAAAGGATCTTACGAATCAAAAACATTGAAAGAAAATACAACGACATACGGATAAGGCATATTAATGACATACATTCTACTTTATAATATTACTCAACATTACTCGGCCCAACTTGAAAGTTGGAGAAAACTGCTTTATCAACTGCTAATTATTCCAAAGTATTCCATGTAATGTTATTCGAGGAGGTATTCAATGTTGGTAATGCAGAAATCGATATTCCTCAAACTTATCCCGAACGACCGAATAGATATCCTTATTACCAACGAATACGAAGCTTCGATAATTTGACCATCGATATGGATATTTTATCAACAAAAACATATATATATATATATATATATATATATATATGTAAATTAAAAAAATTGAAATATAAAATTAAATAATAAAATTGTACGGACTTATTTAAGTTTTAACATTTAATTATTATGTATGTTCCACACTCATGTAAAAATTACACATTTTATCAAAATCAAAATGAAAGAAAAAAAAAAAAAAAGCCGAAAATGTTTACAATTACAAATATCAAACATAAAATTGAAATAAAATTATAAACGTTATAAAACACCACTATCGTTACTATTAAACGTTTATTGAAAAAAAAAAAGAAATATATCGTAAAGCATATGTTTAATTTATTAATTAATGCCAAGTTAATAAATCGTTTTAAGTTACATTTAATCCTAATGACAAACTTTCATCATTCGGATTTAATTGTCTATTTAACTAATATTTAATAATTCTACTTTAGTCATTGGTATGATTGCGTTACAAAATTTTTGCAAAGATGACGACGATATCGCATCTATATTCCAGCAATTGCAGATGTAATTTATATCTTGACACGCGACATTCATCAATTGTTTTATGATTTGTTTAAATTTCTTGTTATACAAGCTGCTGCCGTCGTTCAAGTGGATATTTGTTAAATTTTGGTCAAGTTGGCATGACAAAATTGGTATATATTTTCTCGATTGTTGACAGAACGTTTGCGAAAACTGAAAGGATTCGTTAGAAAAATCCCAAATGAAGTGTTTCAAGTTCTTTCTTAATTTATAAATACTATTTAAAATTCTAGTATTACTGCATGCTGGAGTTGTATCATAGTTTGGTGAAAGCAATAATCTGTTAATATTTGTACATAAGTGCAAGTGATCTTCAAATTCTTGTGTCAATGTAATATTCGCTAATTCCAAGTTAGTCAATTTCTTTAATTTGCTAATGATCTGTAGAAGGCGAGTGAAGCATAATGTTTTTATATTTTCGAGTCTGAAACGTTTTAAATTGTGTAAAGTAAGAAATGAGTTAGAAAACGATAGATGGGGATACGACGACATATCATTCGTTTTTGTTCCAACTTTCCCATTGAATTGGCCTAATTCTAAATCCTCCAAATTTACCAACTGGTATAGAAAATCAAATCGCTGCTCTGTCAAATTGTTTATTGTCAGTAGACTCTAGAACATCAAAAATAATATTACAATTAATATTTTCATTTTAATAAAATAATAATTACAGATATCCAAGCTACACAACATTCTATATCATTTATGAATTCATTAAAAATTGTTTCGTGTGTGCGTGAGTGCGTGAGTGCGTGCGTGTGTATATATATATATATATATATATATATATATAGATATACTTTACCAAGTGCGTTAGACTTTGAAATACCATGAAATTCTGAAGCACGATCGTTAATGTCATAGTGGTCACACATTGCAGCTGCAATACTTTACATTCGCTACGGAATTTCAAATAAGGCAGGACAAACTCCTCATTTGTAATTGATAATGCTCTGATTGTTGTTAACTGTGGGCAGCTATGAATAACCCAACTTACGACAGTCCCAGGACAGTCGCACAATTCAAGTACTTTAAGAGGTACTATTTTTTTAATAATAAAGTGGAATCTCTCCCAATTATCATTGTCATTGTGAATTATCAAGTGTTCGGTGTTATGTTCAATTAAAGCATCGACAATCTGATCTGTTATTTGATTATTATTTAGTATGAATTTTCTCCAGAATGTCGGTTCATTTATAAAGATATTCCACATCTTACAGACTTTTTGAGCATTTAACAAATCTTCAATACTTAAAAGATTAAATATTCTCTTAAGTATGTCGTATGCGGTAAAAAACGACAGTAGAGAATGATGATGTTTTTGTTGAACGGTGTTTGATAAAATTTTCCTAAACCTATGCAATTTCATTTAATGATAAATAAATAAGACATTAAACACATGCAATAAAAATAAATTATCAAAAAAATAAATAAATTTTGAATAATCACTCTTCTATAGGTATGATAATACTATTATGTTTTGTCATAATATTGTTATTATTAGTCTCCGTCGCTACTGAAATCGAACAATTGTTTATGAAGAATTTGGATTTTTCTTCCATCGTAATGGGATTAGTATTGATATTCGGCGAGAGAAAAGATCGATAAGGTTTATGTTGATTTGGAATGGAACTTTCAATATCACAGTTTTCTTCAATAACTTCTGTTATTTTGTCATCCAATTTGCTCCCTTCGATTAAATCGTTTCTTTTAATATTCATATCTTTTATCGGTAATCTATTGCAATTCCTTGATACATTTTCCTTAATATTGATTAATCTAGACGGACATTCTTGATTTTTCTTATGTAAATTTTCTGCATGATTGCTCGATGTCTTCTGAAAAATGTATTTAATTATTATTAGCGTAAGCGATCCCCTATATCATTATAAACACTGATAGTAAATGGGAGAATTTATTAAAATCAATACATACAATGTTTTCTATGATATTATCAGGGGATATAGAATCCTGAGAAAATCTTGCACACGATACATTCAATGAAATTGATTCGTAGTCTTTTATTTGAGCTTTACAATCTTGAGTAAAGTCATACTATAAATAAAATTTTTAGATTTTATTAAACATAAATCATAATTTTACAATTGTTTATTACAAACTTGTAGATTGGGAAGATCACTTATTCTGCCATATTCATTTTCTAGAAGAGTATTCCCATTAGAATTTGTATCTAAAAGTCCATTATCCCAAGATATCGAATTACTTTCGCTAAACGAAGGATTTTCAACGTGTGATTGGTGATTTAAAAGCAATTCTTTTTTTTCTACATGTTTACTTGTACCATCACCAATATGATTATTAATATTCTGAAAGCAAAATAGAAGAACATTGTTAAATACTGTTTAAACGTAATGTATAATTACGTATAATTAATGTATAATAACTATTTAACACTTAACGTTATAATTAATCAACGTAACTTTGATATGAATTAATAATACAATAAAGCTCACACAAAACAGAACGTTAAATAACGATAGAATTAATAAAATTATATTAATTATAATTAATATTAATAAATAAGTGTATGATTGTGTAAACTTAATCCTTTGCTTGTAAATTATTTAATTCGTTAAATGATTACTATTTTTGTTTCTGGAAATCAATTTTTCTTTTCGTAGGACTCAACTTTATCATTTTTACTTTTTCAATGTGGAAATCCTAGCTCTTCCATTTCTATAATCATCGTCAAAGTGTCTTGAGTAAGTTAACGAACTTTATACGTGTAAAAAAACATCTGGCGATGATTCAATTTTTTTTGTTTTTTGTTTTTTGTAGAATCAACTATAGCACTTGCAACATTGTAATAATTTAATTAATATATCATAAAAATTTTGTTCCACTAAATAACAAAAGATTTATTAAAAATCAACGACGTAAATTCGGGATATTATGTTAATAATTCATCTCATTTGATTATAATAGTACAAATGGGGATATAGATCGAATGTATTTCTCAAAAATATAATAATTCTTAAAATTCTTAAATTCAAAGAAATTAATGTAATTATTCTTATATTTGTAACTAATTGGACGTATTACATTCTTCTTATTTGTTCCCAATCTTTATAAAAGAAGCTATTGAAATATTTATAGTATTTGTAAGTTTTTAACTTAATTTTACAAATATTTTTATTACACGACACTTTTTTTTTTCTTAATTTGAGCAAATAAAAGAAATATTTTCATAACGCTCGCATTGTTTTTTATGAAAAAAAAAGTATGAGATTTGTCCACATTTAATGTATATAATTACAAAATTTATATATTTATAATTTAGACAAGTATAGTTTTATATACTGATACAGACACATATCAATTTAATACAGATTACAATTAAAAATAAAAGTATTTGAAACTTTGAATGTGATACTGAAGTAATTACCTACAAATGCGACGAGCTTTCCTTATTTGCGTATAACAATAGATTGATAAGTTATATATAATTATTATCTACACGGAGCTGACTTTAATTTTATTGAATAAATTTAATTTAAAATATTTATTGTAATAAAGTCTTGTCAACAAATAAAATCAGTCATTTGTTAATAAATTTATTCATTAAAGTAAGTACGCGTAATATAACAGATATTGCATAAAAATTTTGAAACGTTAATGCTCTAATAAAATGGATTGTAATTTAAGTTGATAATTAAAAAGGTTTAATTGGATGCAGTGCATGTGAATGTGCAAAGAAAGGTGATTATAAAAATGGTGACAAATTGCAAAAAATACTTCTAAAAACATTTTCAATTTTGTCTAGATTATCTGTAAGATAATGAAGGAAAGATAATGAAATAAGATAAAACTAGTTAATTAAACAATGATAATAATATAATAATAAAAATTATTTTTATCAGAATTTAGAATGGCACCACAAAAATCTTAAATATTGGAATTCTTATCTGTTAATAGGATAATTATATAAATAAATCATTAGGTATTTAAATAGACGAAATTAATTCCATTGAACGAGGAAAACTTCGATCGCAAAAGCATTGATTTCTATTCAAAATAAAAAAATATTTACTCCCAACATGCATACGATTATTAGAAATTAGAATTATTGTTGTAAATATAAGATTTAAACGGAAATTCAATAGAATAGAAGGAAACGTGCCATTATCGCATTGCTAGAAAATAGTATCTACGAAATAATATCTTAAAGTTATTTAATATTTAATTTTCATTCAAATAAAAGAATACACTATGATACAATTATGTGTAATAATAAGAGTTAATAAATCACAAAAAATATTACTAAAGTGTTGAGGGCGACACATACAGACAATATCGCTTATCTTTAAAAAAAAAAAAAAAAAAAAAAATCACACACTCCTCGGTTATTGATAAGTACAAGAAAAACTTCTATTATACAAATAATAAATTGTAAATTAAATCTTCATATATATATTTAAATAAATCAATTTTATTAAGAAATTAATGTGATTCGAGCTTTATTGTAAATAAATAAACTTCTACAATGTACTTTTTCAACATAGTTTCAATCAATTAAATATACATTAACTATATGTCTAAAAATTTTATATTTACTTTTACTCTTGTAGAAAGTCGAATGATTTCCGTTAAGGGGTCGTTAATGCCAATCGAACCTTTGTAAAACGTAAAATTCGTTATCGTTAATCCTCGTTTGGGAACTATAAATAGAAAGAAATAATTAATTAATTGCTCCACGAATTTTCAAAATTCGAATTATTACAGATACACGATAAAAGAAAATACCATGATTTATTATTAATTTACAGTTAGTTATTATCAATTGTATAAACACGGGATTATCAAATCTGTTACAGAATATATTTCCATAAACTATATATATATATATATATATATATATATATATATATATATATATATACACCACACCGCGCGCGATAAAATCTCTCGCGCTTT